TCAGCCTTGCCTCTCTAACTTTGTTTTTAAAACACTCAGCCTGAGCTTTCCCTCTGATTTAATCATTTCTAATCATCGTGTCCATCACGGTCGCTTCCACTGAAAATCTGATCATCTTCATTTCTGTCTTTTTGTCAGTGTCACTCTCTCCAAACCATACATCATAGCAGGTCTCACTGTCATCTTGTAAATCTTCCCTTTCACTCTTGTTGCTATGTTTCAGTTAGCAATCATTCCTGACACTTGTCTCCGCCCACTCCACCCTGTCCGTACTCTCTTCTTCACCTCTCTTATGCAGTTTCTAATTGCTAGGTGGTTGATTCCAGATATTTAAACTCATCTACCCTCACTATCTCTGCTTGTAATGGCTCAACAATGGAAAACACATATTTTCTGTCTCGCTTCTACTGACTTCCTCCTCTTTCCAGAGGATACTTCCACAAAAGCACAGAGCATCTCTTTCTGATGCATCTGCAGTGCTTACTCTCAACATTTTCAAATGATTCAAAAAATATCCACTTCTTTATATTGAAATTTACTGAATGAACATCAAAACAAAAATCAGGCTTACCCCCAAACCTTTTTTCCAATGGCAAACACCAAGGCCAGGAGAGCATAGATGAGAAAAGCAACCAAGATCGCTGTGTGGAGAGATATTAATTAAATGTATATTAATTATTAGTTAAAATAAAAATATTTTTCTCTGTGTGAGACACTCACGTATGTAGCTATTCACAGGGTCCTTATCAGTAACCACAGAGCAGTTGACTCCAAAAGATGCGTTCAGGGTTTTCACCCACAGAGAGTAGTTACCATGCTCGCCAAAGTGGAAAGGAATTCTGTGAATTAAAAAAAAAAAACAAAGGAAAAAGATTTATGTCATCAACAAATAAGCCAAACACTGATCCTTAATTTTATATAACCAGAATGTTGTTCTTTTTGTAAGTTGGAAGCACGACCGTATTCGTAAACGTACTTGCAGAGCTCCAGCTCGATAGGTGTGCTGTTGATCTGCAGTGTTATTTCATGCTGTGTGCTTACAACAAAGTTTACTGAACTGGGCTGACCAGGGTCAAGCCCTGCAGGTACCACCCCTAGCTGCTGGTACAAACACTAACAGGCGAGAGAGCAGAAGCCAAGATTAGAACATTATTGAACTTAAACCACACAGAAACAGAATCAAATGAGGGGAAATATCTGGCACGTGTGAGCCCACCTGGTAGCAGCGCTGTGACTTCCAAGACACCTGCACCTCATATGACAACTCATTGTTGACCGTCAGCTGTGCCTCATCCATCTTCAGGGACAGGTGCTTATGATGATGTATATCAGCTAGAGTGAGTAAGAAAGCGCAGCAGGCATTGTGCAGATCAGTTGAAACCCAGCAACACATCAATTTTCTGCATATGAAGGTACGACGATGCTACAGTCTACGGTTTTCTATTGGCGACCCCACCCAAGCCGCTGTTCATGTAATTAAAATCATCAGAAAACCATAACAGTGTGCATGCCATTACGCTGGTTATTATTCGATCAAAATGCACAAACGTGCAAAATAATCTCATCTTTCCCGGCTGCACAAATGTTATCAAACAAGTCAGAGAACTAATAACGGGTGGACGTGATGCTTTTCGTTTTAATACGCGACACAAGAAGCCATCTTTCTGTAATTTGTCTCAAATCTATCGACCACAGCCGATGCTAAGGACCACAAACCTACTCCATACCGGTGTGAGGTAGCGAAGAAGCCCAGTTTGACAGCAAGCTACAGCCAGAAAGCTAAAGCTAGCGTCTGGAGGGAGAAAGCATGTGATAGAGCCAGTGGTCACATGCTGCATTAATCCCTAATTTACCACCGAGAGGGAAGTTCAAACCGCTGAAGCTCACTTTTCCATTATCAGCTGTTCTCGGTTGATACCGTTTTACAGTTAGCCGCTCGATAGCAGGTTAATAATTAAACATTTAAACCGCTTGTTTGTTGGAGTAAACCTTCAGCTATCGTCAAAAAACCCATAACCACTGCTGCTGTAATATAATTTCAACAAATACGGGAGTTGGTGTAAAACACTGCTAAACATTAGCTTGCTCGCTAGCTTGCTAACTTGGTAGCAGTAGTTTCCTGCTTTTACTTTTTTCAGTTCAGGATACTTACACGAAGATATTTCAGCTGCTAGTGGTGCCACGCAAACAGCCACGACCAAAGCAACAACACCAAGGGCAAAAGTAGCACTTTTCTCCGTTTGTGCCATTTCTTTCTGGCTCTTTGGTTTCACCGGTGCTACTGAAGACGAGTGATATGTATTGTTTTTCTTAAGCTTCCTTGCCATGGCAAAGGTTACTTCCGATCCGTGTACTTGTTTTGGCACTCTAGTGGGAGCGAGAAGGGCCAAAGTACCATACCTGTTCTACTACCCCAATAATTGTTAGGTAATGGAATGGTTATTGCACATATTCATGTTTGCGATCGGCACTAAAGTCGAATATGACACAGTATTCCCAATAAAACTGTGGTACTGGATGAGGAAGTCAGGAGTGCCAGAGATAAATATGTGAGGGTGGTGCAGGACATGTATGAGGACAGCAAGATAGTAGTGAGGTATGCCGTAGGAATGACAGGTGGCTTCCAGGTGGGGGTGGGACTACATGAAGGATCGGCTCTGAACCCCTTTTTGTTTGCAGTGGTGATGGGCTGATAGATCAGGCCAAGCTGGAGTCTGTGGACTATGGTGTTTGGAGATGATATTGTGATCTATGTGAGCAGGTAGCATGGTGTATGTTTGGAGACGGTGGCACTGACAAAAACACAGGAGGCTGAGATGGAGGTGGAAGAGCTAAAGATGCTGAGATTTTCGTTGGCAATAACCAAGAAGGACAAGATAAGAATTTTTTTTTTTGTAATAAATGTGAATAAAATGTGATCAAATCATTTAATTGTGTGAAAAAAGAAAAGTAAAGCTGTAACAAGAAACATTGAAATTGTTCCTACATTTTATGTTTAAATATGAAAATTAGATATTGTCTGTCTAAATATATGGAGATCTGTACACATTTCCACAATCTGAAAACTCCATAAGCCAGGAAACACTTTCAACAGAGAGAAAAAATAAGCTTTATAAAAAATTACACATAAATAAGTTTGGGTTATATTGTTCTTTTTTTTCCCCCTTTACGCATGTACGTACGCTGAAACGTCAAGGACTCTAAATCGATGACCGAGTGGATCAACGGTGCCTCCCATCGGACTTCGTCGTTCACAATGGCAGACAAACAAAATGCTCAGAAGAGGTAATGTGTACATTATTGTGAACATGACTTTTAGCGGCGTAGCTAAGCATAAAACCCATTAGAATAAATAATAGAAGTAAAGAAGAATTAGTTACAGCGAACTGAAGATGCTGATGTGGGCAGTTAAGACAGCTCAATGAAGTAGCTAGCTAGCAGCGTTAGCTAGCATGTACAAAAACATTTCTCGTTTCTGTTGCAGTGTCAAGATAGCAGCTGGAGCCGTGGTTTGTGTTGAAAGCGAAATCCGAGGAGACGTTACCATAGGTAAGACTATGCCCAGTAATCGGAGTTCAGAAAACTTGCTTTTCTCTCACAACAGATCAGTCCCAAGGCAGGAGTTGAATGGCTGTCATCACTTTGCTTGATTACTTGCTGCACCTCTGTTTCTCCAGGCGCCAGGACCGTGGTCCACCCAAAAGCTCGCATCATTGCTGAGGCAGGACCCATAGTTATCGGAGAAGGCAACTTGATTGAAGAGCAAGCTCTGATCATTAACAGGTTATCTAAAGCCTCGGTGTACCATGTTTTCCACTAGGTTAACCATCGTTGAGCATCTCTGGTGATCTGTCACTGTTCTTACATGCAAGCTTGTGTGATCTTCCCCACAGTTACCCAGAAAATATTACACCTGATTCTGAGGTGGAACCAAAAACAATGACCATCGGTATCAACAATGTCTTTGAAGTTGGCTGTGGTATCCTTTTGTCTAATCTGGCCAGTACTGCTCCATATGATTTTTAAATTGTAACATAATAAATCTTTGTAAAAACAAACAAACATGTTTTGCCTCAACTGACAATAAACAGTATCGCAAGCTTTAAAAATTGGAGACAACAATGTGATTGAATCTAAAGGTGGGATATTGCCTTCCGTTTCTTTGGCTTTCAGTGAGTGTTCAAGTCTGTATAATTTCGATGAAGTCACTCACGTTACCAAATATCTTTTTTTGTTGACTAGCGGATGTTGGCAGGAATGTAATCCTCACCAGTGGCTGTATAATTGGAGCCTTCTGTCAGGTCAACACTTGTGAGGTCATACCCGAGAACACTGTCATCTACGGCTCTGGATGTATGAGGAGGGTGCAGACTGAGAGACCCCAGGTATGGAGATCTGTGACTGGAAAACATCGTCAGTGTAGACAAATAACCTAGATGTAGCATTAGCATTGTAAATTGAATATCAAAGCATTATATTTTGAGCTTCCAAGTGGGCTAATCACATGTATGTTTTCCTGATGAAACTAAAAATCTGATGTTTTATTAGATTCAGATTTTTAAAACTAATTCTCCCTCTAACTTGTATCTGGGATCTATATGGAAAGTTTTTAATGTTTTACAACTCTGAGCATTTCGTACAAGTGCAAGACAAATGCTACATTAGCCACACTTGAGTTTCATATGGATTTGGGTCACATTTATGATGCAAATAATTGTTTTTAAGCATTCAGCATTTGAGCTGAGAAACACAGTAACACCATGGGCAAAAACTCAGCAACAACAGACTGTCTGAAAATGTGTAAAATATTCAGTTTCTCTCATTTCCGTCACATTCACCAAGAAAACACTGAAGTGATATTTCATATTTAATGTTTTTATGTAAGATATTCATACATGCCCACTTGTTTAAAAGTTTGTGCAGAGAAAACTTTGGTGCATTGTGCTCATCATCATGTCTGTTATCTCATTTCAGCCACAGACTCTTCAGCTCGATTTTCTGATGAAGATCTTGCCAAACTACCACCATTTGAAGAAAACTGTTAAAGCAGGCCATGCTGCTAGCTAAAATTATACTTTATACCTTTTGAAATGCAGAGAATATCAATGTTTAACTAGATCCTGCTGGAAGAAAGCATGAATGTATATAGTTATGTACCTACCCTGTTTTTGCTCTTCAATTACTGATATTTTCTACTCTGATCTGCAACAGAAGATTAAGCTTCTCATCTTTCTCCTGCTATGCCGATGTACCTTTTGTTTTTTACGATTAACTTATAAGGTACACAAGTTGTACTAGATTTGCTCATTTCTTATGATGGCAGTTACCAGTATTTTTATCATTAAGTTGTAGAAGGTAATTTCTGCCATTCTGATAAAGAATTTACACTAACAATAAATGAAACATTTTAAATATTTAGATGGATTCAAATGTTGACTTTTTTTTTTAAACACATAATGTTGACACTTAAAATGGCAACTTATTGATCTAATCAAAGCAGTTTTGTGTAGCAGTATAATTTATTTGAGTTGGTTCAAAAATGCTAATATTTCTTAAACCACTATATCACGGTGTTGCAAAGTAAAACGCATTTAAATATTTTAAGTTCGACAAAGCTGAAGACATTTCCTGCTGGATGAGTTTTCAGTGTGATGCGATACACTGCACAACACAAGGCTGTTTTTTGCAGTTATTACAAAAGCATAACCGTTGCTAACCATTCAAATAAAAACCTTCCACACACTATACTAAATATATACAAACACACAAACAATATGAAAGAAAGCTACACAATTCAACCTTATTTACTTTAACAGTAAAGTTGTGGTTTCCCCTTTAATTGGTGAGGGCGCCGGCTATCCTAATGATCCAAGTATTCATGTCCTTCACTGACTTATACTCAAAAGGTTTCCACAACACAGCAACTACTGACTCCATGTAACGTAAAACCAGAGATTGTTGAGAGGAATGCAAAGAAAGGGGGGGAAAAACAGCAAATTTTTTGAAATAACATTCATCAGCAGTTTTTATGTTATAGTGAGTCTAGAATAACCATCTCCATGCATTTCTGTGTTACATATGGGACTGAATTAATATATTTCACTTCTTTACAGGCACGCCATCTGAGTAATCCTCCAGTAATCCAGCCAAATGGTTGTTGTGCGTCTTGAAGTTTCTCTTCCTCTGTGTGGCTTGCTTCTTTCTCTTTTGAATTGGTAACTGTGAAGAGCACAGAAAGATAATCAGCTCTCATTCATTTCCTTGAACAGGTGTAACCGTAAGAACTGCATATTAAAGACTTTCTTATTTCTTTCTAACAGATCACAAACAAATCTCACACACACACACACACACACATACATACATACATATATATGTGAATAAAAAAAAAGACACTGACCACTTTCTTTGGTCCCGTTTCTTGCATGGAGGAAATGCCTTGTTTCTTCAGGTACTCTTCAATCTTGTCCTCATCTATAGAGTCAACTGGAACACTCCTCCACAGCTTCTGAAATTCTGACATTGAAAGCAGCTACACTTGAAGAGCCGGACACATAATCTTAACTAACCAAACAAGTCACAGACCTGAATGAAATGCAAAATACATGAGTTTTACAAAACACTTCTGATATAGATCTAATACAACAAACATTTCATTTCACAGCTGAAGTAAAGTTGTCTGAATCTTCGTCAAAGCCAAATTGGTTTTCACTTTGCACATGCTCCACCTCTCCAAATAGCACTGAAATTTGGCAAAAATGTTATTGCTTAATTTGCAAAGGTAATATAAAACATGCTGTACCCCCAACATGGACCACAAGTAACATCAGAGGACAGAAATTCAGATCATTATGAATGTTCCAGTTCTAACTCGCGAAAATGTATGACGAAGACTTCCTTGATGTTGATGTTAATTCTAACAACTTACCCAAGTCAAAATTGATAGCATAAACGTAGCTATTGTGAGATTGCCCATCGGTTTGAAGCATGTAGCCTTGAGAATTTCTGGACCTTGGTTGTTGGTCACTCAAGTAGTTAG